GTTTTTGTTGCTGCCTCCTGTACAATGTTACGAGCCTCCATCCATAGTTCTTTAGGCACTCTGTACACCAAATCTAGTTCCTTTAATCTGTTCTTCACTTCCACTTTGTATTCATAAGGGATTTGGTTTGGATTATACCTGACTAGCCAGTAGTTTTTGCTATTTTCTTCAGTTTAAGCTTGAATTTTGCTATGAGAAGCTGATGATCAGGGCCACAATCCAGGTCTTGTTTTTGCTGACTGTATATAGAGCTTCTCCATCTTTGGCTGCAGAAAATATAATCAATCTGATTTCGGTATTGCCCATCTGGTGATGTCCATGTGTAGAGTCACCTCTTGTGTTGTTGGAAAAGTATGTTTGTGATGACCAGCTTTTTCTCTTGACAAAACTCTATTAGCCTTTGCCCTGCTTCTTTTTGAACTCCATGGCCAAACTTACCTGTTGTTCCTTTTATCTCTTGACTCCCTACTTTGGCAATCCAGTCCCCCATAATGAGAAGAACAACTTTCTCTAGTGTCAGTTCTAGAAGGTGTTATAAGTCTTCATAGAACTGATCTATTTCAGTCTCCTCAGCACTAGTGGTTGGTGCATAAACTTGGATTGCTGTGATGTTGAAAGGTCTGCCTTGGATTCATATTGAAATCATTCTATCATTTTTGAGACTGTATCCCAGTACAGTTTTTCCCACTCTTTTGTTGACTATGAGGGCTACTCCATTTCTTCTACAGGATTCTTGCCCACAATAGTAGATATGATAATCATCTGAATTGATTTCACCCAATCCCGTCCATTTTAGTTCACTGATGCGCAGGATGTCCATGTTTATTTTTGCCATCTCCTGTTTGACCACATCCAGCTCACCAAGGTTCATATATCTTACATTCCAGGTTCCTATGCAGTATTTTTCTTTGCAGCATAGGGCCTTCCTTTCACTTCCAAGCACGTCCACAGCTGAGCGTCCTTTCGGCTGGCTTTGGCCCAACCACTTCATTAGCTCTGGAGCTACTTGTACTTGTCCTCCGCTCTACCTCAGTAGCATGTTGGACGCCTTCTGACCTGAGGGGCTCATCTTCCAGCATCATATCTTTTAGCCTTTTGTTTCTGTCCATGGAGTTTTCTTGGCAAAGATCCTGGAGTGGCTTGCCCGTTCCTGCTCCAGGTGAATCATGTTTAGTCAGAACTCCCCAGTATGACCTGTCCGTCTTGGGTGTCCCCGTATGGTATAGCCCATAGCTTCTCTGAATTACTCAAGCCCCTTTGCCACGACAAGGCAGCAATCTATGAAGGGAAATTCTGAATTTCTGATACCTTATACATTCTTGTAAAGCCAACCTAAGAAAAAATTAAGCTCAATAGTATAGACTTTTTTTAAACAAATATCACAGCTGCATAGTGCAAAACATCTGGGGCATATTCCATGATGGACAATGGCTAGGTCTGTTGAGTCCTGGCCATCACCATTAGAATCCCAGAGTGTCCCTAGAAGAGTTACTCCTAATTTCTGGCCTTGCAGATGTTTTGGACTTCAACTCTCAGAAGCCCCAATAGTCCAGACCTCCTAGAGTTTGTTTCTAAAATATTTGGAATGCCCAGAGTTGAATAAGACAACCTGCAGCACATCTTGAGATGGCCCTACAGCTCCACTCGGCAGGGATAAACTAGCAACGGTATGTAACTTCAGAAAAGCAAGTCTGGCAATCTTCGTCTCATTCATTCTCCTTGTATCCTGCTCCTCCCCTAAACAAATTTGCAAATTTTACACACACACACACAAAAGCAGTAATGATAAAACATAATTAAACAGTTTACAATATTAAAACAGTATTTACTGAAAGTGTAAATTAAAACATTCCGACCAAAAAAAAAAAATACTGAAAATTATAGTCTATTTATTATTGAGTCACCAGCGAGGCATTACTCAAACACATAACATGGAAAACAGAACTCATAAGACTAACAAGGTATGGAGCAGAGTCATAAAAACCATAAACAAGAGATACCTTTGCTGAAATCCTGTTGCTTTAACTTATGTCATGCAAAGTTCATAATTTTATCAGCCATGGTAATTTCTGGAAATTAAGATTTTCTGATCCTCTCCCCCCAAAAGGGTCTCAAAAGTCCCTTGGGATTCTTTTTCTTGTGGGGGAAGCCTTTAATTCCAGAAAATCACCACCACTGGGATAATTTTATCACCAGCAGTGATTTTACAGAAATTAAAGACTTCTTCCCATCCCACAGCTGCCAGTATGGGTTCTTTAAAAGTATGGATACTCCACCTTAGAACAACCCACATGTTGGGCCACATAACATCTCTGAATCTCTTTCAACTGCAGAGAATTCCATCTGCATTTAATGGAAAGTGATCTCATTTGTGTGGATCAGTAAAGAGCACATACGGAGGCAACTTCTTAAAAGAGATGTTTAAATCATTACGTATCTTATTGAAGCAGTACCCAGAATTAAGTGTAATTGTGGTCTGGATGTTGGAAGTTGTATATGTCATTGTAATCTCCTCTCAGGTGTTATCAGAACCCCTACCCAAGAGTATGACTAATCCAGCCTGGGTGAAAGTGAGGACATCCCTAGTATTATACAGTAGTTAGCAATTTCTGCTAACCATGGTACTCCACAACCATAGCATTCAAAAAGATCCATGCTGGGGCGCCATAAAATCTCTGAGGGAGCCGTCTGTCTTTACAAAACTCTATAAAACCTACTACCATCTTCCAACCTCTTGCTGACTGCATTAGGGCTCCTCAGTATTTATATTATTCATTTGTTGCAGCAGCTAGCTGTCCAGTTGCCATATATGTGTCTTATTTCATTTTAGTGTACTTAGCCTGGAAAAGCTAATTTAGGCAAAAGACAAGCCTAAAGCCTTTCACATTCACATCTCCATCTGGATGTGTGACAGAAGAATATAAAAAAGGAAAGGATGGCATATAAATCCATATTAATCTCCAATGGTGCTAGCATGCATCCATGTTGCACTCCCTCATTCACAGGGATAGGATCAGAATCATCCTGGTCCCAGATGACTCTTACACAATACACTATCTCACACAATCCTTGAAGAAGCTTGCAGGGCAGAAGTTCCTAGAATCTGATTACACCACTTTCTTGTCAATAGGGACTATGATAGTAGCCATTGCCCAATCTGAAGGGAATCTCCCAGTAGATGCAAATAAAGCAGCTAGTATGGTGATCCACCAAGGGAGACAAACAAAATATCAGGCAGGATGCATTCCTGGAAATGCCTTTCCCTTTTTTTAGCTTTTTTTTCCTAAAAAAATGTTTTTGTTTAGGACCAGCAACGGAAATGCCTTTCCCTTTTTTTAGATTTTTTTAAAAAAATGTTTTTGTTTAGGACCAGCAAGGTGGCATTCACCAAGGTAGCATACAAGCCATCCCGTCATAAAAGGGGGAATGATAGTGTAGTTCCCATTCATGTGTAGGAAATGAATGCTCAGCAGAGGACTCACCAGTACACCCTGATGTTGAAAGAAGTTGCCAGAATTTAGATCTGTCTTTGCTTTCAAGTGACTATTCACACCACTGCAAAGTGGCATGCTCTAACCTCCTTTTTAGGATTACCTTTTAATAACCTTTGCACAGTGCTAAAGGGCTGAGGTGTGGGGACTATACCATAATCCATATAAAACCCCCATATGTTGTCTTTTATCATAGGACCACGGTATCTGCAGGGGATTGGTTCCAAGGCCCCCTCTATGGATGCTAAAAAATATAGGTATGGAGATGCATTGTCTGTAGTGGCCAGTTCTGGTAATACATGGTAGAAACACATTCTTGGGGGGGGGGGTATATTTTTCAGGCAGCCAATAAGTGAAACTGCAGGTACTGATCCCGCAGACACCATGGTCCTACTGTAATTGCCTCTGTAAATTGTCTGCAACCTTAATCAAACTACAGATTATCCTCCCATTTTCTCCAGTTCCATAAGAAATGGTACAGGAAACAGCTACACCCACTTGAGTGACTGCCCATACAAAATTGTGTAGCAAGATTCTACCTTCCCACAGTTTTTAAAAAAAGGTTATAAAGTAGGTATAGCAATTCTGCCTAATGAATTCCTGACAACCCCGTAAGGGGAGAAAACCACTTCCCTCACTGCAGAGCAGTTACACTGTTCTTCCTTAAGAACATAATGCAAATATTACCTGACGCCCAACAGTTTTGCTGAAATGTATTTTCCTCCTATCTGGAGAAACTGGATTTCACCTATTCCTTGACACCTATTCATTCCTCCCAAAAAGGTTCCCTTTCGTAGCTAGCTTGGCATCTCTTGTGCTAATGAAATTCAATGACTCTCTCTCGGAAAGTCCATTATCGCCTGAAGCAGCAAAGATATATGGCAGCCCTTCTTAATGAAGTGAAGTCAAGATTATGCATGGCGATAGGAGATTAAGTAGCCACTGGCTTCTCAGCAGAAAAGACAAAATTGATCACTCGCCATTCATCAGGCAGTCAAAAGATTCACCCAACTGGCATTTCTCTGCACTTCGAGAGAATATCATCATTCTTCTACCTCTTTTTCTCTTCTGAAACAGCATGTTTCTAGATGTGTTTGGATAGGTGGATCGAATGTCTGGGAAAATCTCAGTGGTCAGAGTTTCACTATCTTCTAAAACAGCTAAGCAGAGCAAACAATGCAAGAACAGTGGGGACTGTGGAAATACCTCACACATGAAAACACTCCCCAATTTACTCAATTAGTATAAGCAGCATATTTTACCTTTTCACATCACAGAATGTAGGTCACCTTGGTCATGGTTTTCATTTTATTTTTAGCACTGAGTGCATACAGCTCTGAATATTGTAGCAGCTATCACATCCACACAAAGATGCAGGCCCAAATCCTCTTGCATAGTTATGCACCATTACACAAACAATCGAATTTTTGGAGCTGAATTGCCTCAAGCTAACAAACTGTCATACACATTACCAGTTGCATACTGAGTTGTGTAACTCAGCGTGCAACAGATAACAGCTATGGTGATTTTTTTTTTAACGTGAGGCAATTTGCCTACAAAGGTTACACGACTTGCATAGCTATGCAAGATTTTGGCCACAGATACACATTCACATAAACATTTTTGTGCCCCCAGACAGTTCAGAAACACAGGATTGTCAAGCTCATGAACTGGGTTCAGTCTCAGGTAGCCGGGTTGAGGTTCACTCAACCTCCCATTCTTACGTAGCCAGTTCATGTGGGGGCAATGCTTAGCCTGCATTATTAAATCATAAACTGCACAGAGAGTGCTTTAAGTGCTACGGGGTGGTATATAAGCAGCATACTTTGCTTGGCTTTTGCAATCAGAATTCACACTTTATGTCATAATATGTAGCTTATCCACTGAAGGCATATAACACCTTCAAATGATTATGGACATCTGTAAAAAAAGGTATCAGACACAATGCCCAAGTAAAAACGTACATAGATCTAGTGTAGCGACAAGATACAGCAGTGAAGCAAGAAGCCTCCAGATCAAATACAGTCTTTGTCATGAACTCATCTGGCAGCCTGAGGCAAAACACCACTATTCTGTTTTAGGATTTAAATGGTGAAAATGGTGACAGTAAGAATTGTAAGCAGAAGATACGCATGGACTCAGAGAGCATGACTCTTCCAAATTAAAATAATAATAATCTTGAGAGCAACCATCAACTGCCCTATAGCTTCAGAACAAGAAAAGTTACCACTTGTTTTATTGAGCTGGGAGGTGCTCAGTTCTAATATAAGCTCCCCCTTTCCATTCTCTATAACCTAAAACAAATGAAGCTGGAGGCAGAAAGGAGCAGAGAAAAATATTCTAATTTAAACAAACATGTTTGCATAACTACTATATTTGAGATAAAGCAAAACAGAAGGATGAATTAACAAATACAGTGGTGCCCCGCTTAACGATTACCCCGCTCCATGACGAATCCGCTCCACGATGATGTTTTTGCGATCACAAAATGTTTTAATAAGAAAAAATCACTTGATAATGATCGGTTCCCTGCTTCGGGAACCGATTTTTCGCTTAACGACGATCTAAAAACAGCTGATCGTTGGGTTTCAAAATGGCCGCCCGCTGTGCAAAATGGCTCCCCGCTATTTTCAGGACTACTTTTTCGCTTTACAAGCATCAGAAAATGGCTGCCCTATGGAGGATCTTCGCTGGACGATCAGGTATTTCACCCATTCGAACGCATTAACCGGTTTCTAATGCATTCTAATGGGCTTTTTTCCTTTCCCTTGATTTCATTCTACAGCGATTTTGCTGGAACTTATTATCGTCGTCAAGCAGGGCACCACTGTAAACATGACCGAAGTATTCTGTGTTACATTGTTTGGAGGGTTATTGAAAACACAACAGCAAGAAGGAATATTCCAAAGCACCACATAAACATTAAAGCTCACTAAGGCTAGAATCCTGTTACTCTGTATGGCTATGCAAAGGCAATCGATCAAAGTTATTTCCTAGGCTGTCTGTTGGATGACCAGTCTTTCGTAGTTGTGCCATCAACTGAGCAACCAGATCACATTTAAAAACTCTTCTTTGAATTGCCATTACACATGGAGAAAATGCCAATAAGATTTTAGCCTCAATATTACAAATACATGCAAATAAATACAAACATAATTTCTGGCTTTCCTGACTGTATTTATAAATTTAAGAGCAAGGGTTAGCAACTCTGGCCCTCTAGATGTTGCTGCACAGCAACAGCTACAACCGCTCACCATTGGCTGTGTAAAGTCATGGCATATGGGAACTACAAACTAAGAATACAAATTGGGTCACAGTTACCTACTCGTACCCTACAGGAACATATTTTATCATGCTTCCCTCCCTAGTTGCCTTGAAGAGGGACCACCCTTCACAAGAGACAATTGGCTATTTACAAGTCTTATGTCTTCCAATTACAGAACAAATCAAATGCATACCTTGTCAACCAGTGTCCAAAGTCTGGCCTATGAGCCCACTGAACGCCAGTCTGATTTAAGGAGCGAAGCAACCGGCAGCAAACAAGAATGATCCACGGAGTCACCAATGCCATCCACTTCTCTGAGCTGCTTATGTTTTCCGGGGAGGTGGCCTTGCCCGTTTTCAAATCATCCTGCAATAGGCTTACGTCGTTCCAATGCTGGGAAGATGTTCCCTTCCCTTCTTCTGAAATCGGTCTGGCTGCAGAGGGAAGCTGATAATCACATTCTTTTGCCAAGAAATAGTGCCTGCAGATCTCCTGACACAGGGCAAGGCAAAGGGTGTTGATGAGAAAGTACCACGTTTGGTGCTCTTCTTCAATAAAGCTACTAGCGCTCAGACTTGACACGTGGCCAATAGTGCCCGCCAGGATGAGTATATCCAACTCAGACCAGCTGGAAGCAGAGGCAGCTGGATTCTGTGAAGACAAAAATGTGTTGACGACATAATTTGGAAGAATCCAACATATCATTAGAATTGTCGGCATGCAAAATTGCTTACAGTTGGTTCTTCAATGACAACTGTATTTTTGTTATATTTTATGTAATTCTTCTATACTCCTTGTCTGAAACAAGGTTAATTTCAGTGTAATTCAGAATTGCTGTCAACATTAAGCTAATTGTTCCATTGAAATGGTGGCTCGTTCTCCTTCAAGAACCGCACATAGCTTCCCTCTGAATAACCAGTGTAACATTTAAAGTTCATTCTGTTACGAGTTTTGCAACAGAATAGGAAGTGGCTTATGTGGAACTAAAAATAGAAATCTTTCAGCAATCAGAACATTCAAAAAGAGGTAAGGAGGGAGTCGTTTTTTCATCTCAATCTTCCCACTTCCCAGGATGTTGCAGTGCAGAGGGAGAAAATGTATATTCATTCACGTAATTTAACAGCTGCTATAACTAGAATATTGATATTCTGGTATTGATATTGCATGTTCTAAAACTACTTATTTCGTACGAAATTGCCATGCAAGATTACCTTAGAAAGAGATTAGTATGTTAATAACCTACTGATTTAAGGAAAATTAAGTCCTAAAAAATAGCCATGGTACACAAATTTCAGTAAACTGAAGCTCAGCTGAATGTATATAAAACATAACCATACACCAAAAATACCATCAAGAAAGGCAAAAGGATAGCATCAACAATAATAATGTCATACAACATGGAGAACCAAGTAGCTACAGAAGATCCACTAGCAATGTTTAACACATCCCAACACTTATTAAGCAATGGCAAGTTATATGTATTTTACATGAACTACAATAGTATTCAGCACTTTCTGTTGGAACTCTGAAATGTAAAAAGAGGTACAAATAATTCCCCATATATAATCAACGCAAAGAACTGACTCTCGCAATTTCCTCTCAATTGTTACATTCTTTTTACTGAGGTTTTGCTGTGAGTGCGATCCAGAAAATGAAGGCAAACCAGTAAATGTAAAATCTCAGAGCGTAAAAGAATAAGAATTACAAATACTGATATACTATAAGTACAGTGGTGCCCCGCTTGACGATTACCCTGTTAGACGATGAAATTGCTTGATGATGAGTTTGGGGGGGTTGATTCCAATGGTTTTTTTTTTTCATTTTACGACGATCAGTTCCCTACTTTGGGAACCGAATTTTCGCTTCGCGGCGATTAAAAACAGCTGATCGTCGGGTTTTGATGAAAATGCTTGATGATGAGTTTTTTGGGGTTGATTCCAATTTTCTTTTTTTCATTTTATGACGATCAGTTCCCTGCTTCGGGAACCGAATTTTCACTTCGCGACGATTAAAAACAGCTGATCGTCGGGTTTTCAAAATGGCTCCCCACTGTTTTCCTGACCTATTTCCGGAAGACAGCGATGCAAAATGGCTTCTCCTATGGAGGATCTTTGCTGGATGAGCAGGTATTTCCCCCATTGGAACGCATTGACCCGTTTTCAATGCATTTCAATGGGTTTATTTTCACTTGACGACTATTTCACTGTACAGTGATTTTCCTGGAATGCATTATCGTCGTCAAGCGGGGCACCACTGTATAATATTTTGATGAAGCTGAACTTGCAGATTTTACCGTTGTAAATATACCTCAACTGAGCTGAATATGGCACTGTTCAACACAAAGGCATCTAGAGCTAAACCTGCACACCAGTTATATAAAATTTCATGTGAACTGTTTCCTTTAACACACCGTTTCACTCCTTGTGGTAAAACCTACTCCCATGTTTTCAGCATACGCTTCTGCAAACTGATCCTCAGAAACATAACAGCAGCACTGTTAGATCAAACCGAAGGCCTGCCTAGTGCTGTAGCCTGTGTTATTATTAGAAATCTAATCATCAGCACACAGATAGACAAATCAATTCATTTCACTGTTCTTGTAAAGGGGCAACAGAAAATCACAAAAGATTCATGCCTTCCACTTCAAGGCTCATAAACATCCCATTTCATGAACACAAGAGCACATCCTTCACAGTCACGATGCAGGAGACTTATAAGTGGTGGATAAGGAAAAAATGAGATGTTTTGGTTTCCTTGGTTGCCATTTCCAGAGAAGTCTGAAACGTGATCTTTCAGACTGTCTTTAGGATAAAGCAAACAATGAATACTGAGCAGCCATTTAACTTTTCATACCACCAAAATCTCAATACAGTGGGGTCTCTACTTAAGAACGTCTCTACTTAAGAACAATCCACCTTAAGAACAGCTCCATTTGCTAAATTTTGCTTCTACTTGAGAACAGAAATCCAAGATAAGAACAGGAAAAAAACCTTTCCTGCTCTTTTTTTAACCTGCGGTCATCTTAGGTTAAAAAAAATTCTCCCCCGAGTGGTAGAGTACGTATTAACCAGCTTTGCATTAGTTCCTATGGGAACTAATGCTTCAATGTACGAACGCACCTCTACATAACAAAAAAACAGCGAGAACGGATTAATTGGTTTTTCAGTCCATTCCTATGGGAAAGTTTGCTTCAACTTAAGAACGTTTCAACTTAAGAACACCATTCCAAAATGGATTACGTTCTTAAGTAGAGGTTCCACTGCAGTTTCTAAGGACGGAAAAGAGCAGATACAGATTAAATGATTTTCAATGCATTCCTATGGGAAATGCAGATTCAACATAAGAACTTTTCAACTTGAGAACCACCTTCCAATACGGATTAAGTTCTTAAGTAGAGACCCCACTGTATATGACATGGCAGTGAAGGCTTTCACTGCTAGAAGAAAAATATCATATTTAGTGTATGGAGTTTTTTTATTCTTTAATGCAGAGATGCACCAGAATCAGATCTGTCTTTAACAACAGTTTGCTTTGAATCTGTAGCCCCCCCTTTTTTTTGCTCTCTTTAATTCACCTACCAATCAACAGTGGCAGCTAGCTAGTATGCGCACTTCTGCCTGCACAACTAAAAATCTGAGACTGGTGGTCAAGTTCAAGTTAAAGCTGAGAACTTGATTTCCTTTACTCAGTATCCATTTATTCTATTCCACTTTTTTAAAAGTAACATTTTATGCCGCTCTTGCATGTGATCATTCTCAAATGCAGTTTGCAATGAGCCTCCAGTTAAAGCAGCATATTTTTTTCCAATGATTATGAATCTGAAAATGCCACTTCAAACCAGACTTTTATTATTGCTCCATTATAAAATCAGATAATACAGATTGGGGAGGGCAAAGCTGCTTCCATGCAGTGATTTTCAAAAGACTAACAGACACCTATCGAAGCACCGTGGAACAGTCTAGCCAGATGCTCTCTGGCACTAATCTCCCTGAATGATGCTGTCAAACTGCAATAATTTAGATATTGGAACTGAGCACATGTCACCTTTTAGGCTGCAATACCCACAACTTTAAAAAAAAATGTGTTCACAATTTGACATGCTCACATCAATTCCAACTGTATCTAACTGCCAGACCACCCCAAGCCATCGTTGTGGGCTTACTCATGCTTTTTGATGGATACAAGCAAACAGAGGAGGTATTCTCCTGATATTCAAAAATTGCCAAGGGTGGGTGAGGCCATCAAGTAGAGAAGAATCCTACTCGCAACCTTCTAGAACAGTTGTTCCCAACCTTGGGTCTCCAGATGTTCTTGGACTGAAATTCCCAGAAGCCTTCACTGCTACCTCTGCTAGCCAGGATTTCTGGGAGTTGTAGTCCAAGAACATCTAGGAACCCAAAGTTGGACAGGACTTAAGACTCAAGGATCCGAGGATCATGCACTGTAACTGGCTTAGGAATCCCAGTTCCAGTTCTCACTGTTGTAGATGAAACAGGTAGCAATCAAAAAGTACCTACTATGTTCTGGGGAGCCAAGGCTGGGAACCACGGTACTAGAACACTGTAAACTATCTTAGAGCTGGCACATCCTCATAACTGGGACCAGACATGAGAGCGTCCCAGAGCTGCTGCCACCAAATATGTACTGTACATGTAATTAAGGAAGGAGATGATTTCATGAAATGCCCACAAAGTTGGGGCAAGAAAATTCTCAAGATCACAACAGTCTCATGTTTCCTTAAGTACACATTAGAGCAGGACACATCTGCCCCAACCAGTGCAGCCAAGGCTAACAAACATGTGGAAGTTAAGATCTTAATAACATCTGGACATACACACATTTCCAGCTTCACATTACAGAGAGAGATGGCAGAACTCTGTGACTTTCCACATTCATTGACAATCCTATGATTGCTATCATGCTTACTCTAGTCGAGTACCTACTGCAGAAAAATGAGAATGAAAATACTTCACATAACCCTATTATCTGTCAGAGGTATTAAATACTCGTGTTAAGAGACTCTGGTGATTCAAGGAAACAGATGGGAAACACTCCTGGATAAAACAAAATGACTACTTCATATATGATGTACAGAATTCAAAGTGACAAAGCATGTTGATAAATAACAGCTTCAATGTTAGCTACCACAAACACCTCAGAAGAAAAAAATACCGAATACAAATATGATATACAATTTTTTTAAAAGTGCTTCTCTGATCCGGACTGTGACACTAGTAAACTGGATCTACAATCAATTTATCACGGCTGGTTAAATAACCTCTTCTGTTGCTATTTTGGTAAATTCAGGGGGACCTGCACTGTGAAATTTCGCAACGCTTTTTTTCTTGGCTTTAACGTACACCTGCATCCAAAGCAAATTGATAGAGCTTGCATTTGAAACAGGAGAACAATCCAGAGAGAAAGCAATGACTCTTCTCTTCCCCATTTTTTTCTTCAAATCCCAGCTATTCTGATCCTTACAGGAGAAGGGTAGGTAATCTGCAGCTGACTAGATGTTGCTGGACTACAACTCCCAGCATTCCTCAGTACTGGCTGCACTGGCTAGTGCTGCAGGCGGACAATACTGGAGGGCCACATATTGGTCCCCCTTGCTGTAGTGGAATGAAAGAGGTTCTCAACCTTTTCCCATGAAAACAATGTGGGGCAGGCATGGCGGTTTTCAAAATGAGAAGGGCTTCTGTATGGGGGAAGAAGGACTAACATATGGGGCCTTCTCTTTCAACGATGGGGGAGTACAGAGCAACAGGCAAAACGGGGTCAAATTAGATCCCTACAACATCTTACCTTGGTGGAGTGTCTAGGATTCCCAAACACCTTTTCCACAGCAGAAAGGAGGACACACAGAAGGCCAGACATCAGCACAATCACTCCAATGGCTGTTAGCCACGAGATGCTGCAGAAATAACACAAGCTCTCTGTTGAGGTGCACACAACCACATGAACTGCGCAGAGCAGCAGGCACATCAAATAGAAGAGCAGAGAACACAACGGCGAAAGAGGCAGTTCAAGTTCTGCCCGGCTGCTCAGGGCTTTTGGGATGCTCAGGAGGAGTAACAGCAGCACCTGTGGGGGGAGCAGGGAGAAAGGGCTTTCAATGGAGGGTCCAGCAATCAAAGCCAAGCAAGGAGGAAACAGCTTTTGACTTACATTCTCTCACTCTATTACACTAACCAACAGGATCTCAGTAATTACAGGCCAGATAAATCTAGTTTTCAGTATGTTCGGTACACCTAGCACAGTGATTCCCAAACTTGGAGACTCACATATTCTTTAGCTATAACTTCCAGAAGCCCTGGGCCAAGAACATCTGGTACAAGTTTCAATTATTGGCCTAAAAGAGCTGTCAGAACTGATAGTGGCTCACAGTGACACTCTATAGCTGCTGCTCCTGCACATTATTATTGTGCACGCTTTGGGACTGCTAATCATTCTTTATAGCAGTGGTTCTTAACCTTGGGTTACTCAGGTGTTTTTGGACTGCAACTCCCAGAAGCCTTCACCACCAGCTGTGCTGGCTGGGGTTTCTGGGAGTTGCAGTTCGAAAACACCTGAGTAACCCAAGGTTAAGAACCACTGCTTTATAGTACTATATTGATTCTAATTGCAGATTCTGTCTGAAACAGCCAAGAACTGAAAGACAAGTGCAACGTGTGCCACCTGACTCTAAGAGTTCCTGGCCAATATTTCTCAAACAACAGCCTCCTCCCCTAACCACAGGGTGAACCACCCTTGAAAGTGTGGTCTTTCCAATGCAACCTAGGGGTCTGTTGTTTGGGAAAAGGGAGAGAGACAAGAAGGGCCAAGGACCTTACAGGGCAAATCCAAGCCTTTTAAATCCATCCAGAGTAGCTTGGTTCTAAGCCAAATCAGATATGTTAAGCTTCTGCTACTCAGAACAAAGCAGCAAATAAAGCCAGTAAAATGTTACATACTAACAAGTCTTTAGCCCCCTCCATACCTTAACTGAATAAGGGCAATCCAATGCAATTAAACAGAAACAGAGCCATGCTGCTGGGCTCACACATATTGTACACATCCTCAGCCAGACTTCCAACTGTTACAGATGATAAGTGGAGGTGTGAAGAGTGGGAGTCCATTGCTCTGAAATCTTAAGGAGTCCTATTGTAAACGTACAGACTGTACAGAGCTCTATGTGCACCAAGTTCTCTTCCCAAAATATCCAAGTTCTATATGTCAATGTAGATGGAAAGGGCCAAGGAACGGTCTTGATGTTGGGAGCGGGAACAGCAGTGTATTGACCTCCATATTACCTTCCATGAAAGATGGGACCTTCTAAGTTCTGCAGATCAACAGATTCACATTACATGTTTGAATCTTGCTATTTTCGGTCTTAAAAATCACAGTTTGCATTGAAACACAAATACATTCTTGCATCACACAACTTATGTTGTGAGAATAGTCAATGCTTCCACTGATCAGTACCCTGGACAGCTCCCTGTGCTTCCAACAGGCCCAGAGTAAAAGGGGTTTTACACAAACAATTTCAGCTTGCAAGGAATAGTCCAGCTAGGATGAAAACTCAAACTATCACTTCTACTTGGAGAATTCAGGTTGTTGGAATTACTTCTACTTTGGTATTCTTATTACTATCAGCAGGAACCCCCTCCACCACAAAGAACAATATTCTTTTACAGTGCCTCTGCATTTAAGAGACCACACTATTTCCAATGGCCCCAGCATTATTTTCCTAGTATTTCTTCCCCTTTTTCTGATGAGCACAGCTTCGCCTCCAAAAAGTCACACTGGGCTCACTATAATTACTACACAAGGAAAGTTCCACTATCCTTTTTAGTAGTCAACACAACGTACATGTTCAAGACGCAAAAACCCAAATCCAGAGACAGACATTTTAACCTGAAGGTTAAAAATAAAGGTCTTCTGAGCAAAACTCTTACATCTCCAGCAGCCTCCCTGTTCCACAGATTCCTTCTGTGCATTCACATCTTTCCAGTATCCCTTCTGCAACTGAGTCCTTCCTGTTATTGAACTGTCATCCAAATCTGTACCTTGACATTTTCTAGCAAATTTCTTCCTAGAAATTGGATCTAGCATCACAAATGCAATTTTTTGTGTCAGGAAGATAGGCACTTTATACCAGTAGAAAGCCTGTCCTGCTCACCATATGAACACACAAATCTCAACTGATCTTAAAACAGGCACTTTATACCAGTAGAAAACCTGTCCTGCTCACCATATAACCCTGAACACACAAATCTCAACTGATCTTAAAAATTAATAAGCATTGGGCCTACAGAGTACTTAGAGGAGAGACCACTAGGTAGATTTTTAAAATTTATGTGTTGCATTTATATCCAACCTTTCCCTTCTGTGAGAAGGCATTGCATATGGTTCTCTTCCTTAAATTTTACCCTCCCAAAAACCTTGTGAGGTAGGTCAGGTAAGTAAAGTATGCCTGGCCCAGCATCACTCAAGTGAGTTTCATGGGTGAGCAAAGATTTAAACTCAGGTCTCCTATGTTGCAGTCCAATACTCCTACCACTACACCACAGTTGATTTCCAGGAACAAAGTGAAAAGTAACAGTGAGGATCTCTAGGATAAGCCCTAATTTCAGTCAAGAAAAAAAGTGAGCAAGATGGACCTACTCTGTGTAAGATACTTCCTATGTTTTCCTAAAACCAAGAACACTTGAAATTGAAAAGACATCCAGAGACTCTGGTGCTGTGTAGGTTCAAATGATGCCTTGCAAGCCAGCTGACAAGGACCATGTCATGCCAAATTAAACTGGACTAAGATACTCAATTACCTTAATATACCAGTTCATACCTCCAAAACAATCACTGTTCCCACTATCATTGAATACATGTCATACTGTGCCACTTGCTCGCTTAAAGAAGAGCTCAGGATCTTGAGAGCCTCCAAATATTGCTTAAGGACTTTTTTGCCAAGATTCATGAGAATTTCTGAAGTATTCCCCTCCAAATAAAGCTTGATCCAATTTCCATGAGATTTCTCTGCCATCTTAAACTGTTCAAATCCAGGATCTAGTAATAAGAGACATTAATGCAAATCAGAAAGTTATCCAAGGCCTCTACTGAAAGGATTCATTTCGCTGTGACTAATGGCAATCATTCCCTTTGTATACATGGGCTTAAATTCAGTTTTCCACCAGAATGGAATACTCCGTTTATAAAGATGTGAAAGTATCTGTGCAATGTTGACTGTAAACCATGGCTAATTTTGACATTGGAAGGAAGGGGAGCTCACCCCAAACATGAAAATATGCAAGGTGCCAGAATTACATGAACACTGGCCCAGAAGCCAACACTTGCAAACTATCAGAAGCAAGCACATCCTCCGCAATCAACTGAGCTTCTTTTGTACCTTCAGCGTCCATTACTCTAGAAGCAATACCTAATGTTCGCAGTTTTATTCTGGCTAGACATCTGCATCTGAATCTACTATAAAGCTAATAGTTACTTTGAGTTTTCTATCCCTTAAATTTGCTTTGCAAACCCTGTATCTATTCCCCAGTGGTCAGAATCTTACATTGTTCCTTTTCCCCTCAGAAGTGGATTTTCTAAGTGTGAAGAACCTATGCTAGCAACCAGCACAATAACCAACTTACTTGCCTTTTTCATATGTGGGCATATTCTCTTGGAGAAGTCTGCTGAGCTGGAAGCCATTTAAATGCAAGTATCGTAGCTGTTCCCGCATTGTCTTTCGCTGCACAACAGGGAGTAACAGCTTCCCAACACTGTTCCTTGAAATAGGCAAGCCAAGCCCAATTGCCAGGGTGACAGCTAAATCAGTTTGCTGAACACGTTCTGGAGGTTTGGCAGAACCTGAGAAAAAAAGAGAAAAATGCGAGTTATGATTGTATTCAATCATCATCCCCAAACTATATGCTGAAGAGAAATGACCCACGATTTTCGCTCTTTAGATCCTGCAGTTTAGAGTGAGCTTGTTCCCTGCTTGTTTGGTACAGTTAGCAAAGTCCTGCAGCTGTTCACCATCTATGACTTTGCCAAAATCCTCTAAGCCTCTGAAATGTTAAACTTTCTTTGAATGAAAGATGCCCTCGCCCACCCCTACCACAACCTGCATAGAACTGCAGTCAAGAACTGTATTAGTTGCAAAAGCCACATGCTGCATTGAGCTACAGTATTTTGTTTTTATATGCTGGTTACAGTTGTAGTCTTTTTTGTCTCACTTCTCCTACAAAGAGATCGTAGCAGCCCAAGTGGCAGATTACATTTGTTTGATTACATTTGATTGCAAAGCATCTATTTCAACTCCTTCCGTAGTTAGAACATGAGATTAAAGACATACAGTATTGGTCTTCTCCCCATTTATCTCAGGTTGAGAGACATCAAGAGGCCCAAGGCACCAAATGAGTTGCAGGGCCAACTTGAGATTTGACCTTGATTTCCCCAGGTTCCTTCCAACACATTGACCACCACACTGGCTCTCCATGGAAAGAGAAACCTTTCGTAAGGGAAGCACAAGGCCCCTTGCTTGTGAAGCTCTTGCTTTTAAGGTCCCAGTTTGTATTCCTTGCCTACATCTCCTCCAAGAAGCCCAAAGCAATCTGCATTCCTGAGGCAGAGCTGCTTTAGGTGTTGCAACATCATGCACACACATCATGCATGACACATAAACAGGCTAACGGAGAAGGGTTTTTTGTAGGTAAGTGCCAGCTGCATCAAATGTAGCTACCTAACAGTGACTTTTCTAAATCAAAGGGTTCCCAAGGCCAACTTTGCCCTGCAGCTATAAACCTCCAGCTGGGCTATACCACTTCAGAATATAAGCAGCTATTCACCCAGTGGAATGTGTCACTATTGTAAAAATATCTGTGCAAAACTATGTTGTAAGAAGTGTGCTATTTGAGCCTTCCATCTGAAATCTAGAGTTCTATATGGAGAGAACTTCTTTTTCTTTCACAACAGGTCAGTATACAGACATACAAGACCATACTTGCAATTGTCAATAGCACAACCCAGGCCCAGACATCTACTGTAGAATTTTTAACAGAGCAACATAATCTCATTATGAAATGTACAGTACTGGCAAGTTCTTACCACTTATCTTGTCAAACCCGGAGCTGATCAAAAGCAGGGGTGTGTGCACTTCACCATCTGAGGAACCACCATGACTTCCTGTTTCAGACATTCCGTGGTCACCACACACAACCAGTAAACACGGCAAAACCCCTTCTCCCTCCTCCTGAATGGAATGAAAAATCCAAGATCTTAGGAGGCTACGTTGGCATATACTACCAGCCATTCTTTATTCCTTGCCTCACAGATTCCAGGGCATAATCATAGAGTAGTGAAGTTGGAAGGGGCCTATAAGGCCATCAAGTCCAGCCCCCTGCTTGCTGCAGAAATACAAATCAAAAGGTAACTGCCAGGTGGTTGTACAAGTTTTTCTTGAATGCCTCCAGTGTTGGAGCATTCACCATCTCTCGAGGTAATTGGCTCCACTGTCTTACTGCTCTAACAGGAAGTCTTTCCTGATATTCAATCAAAATCTGGCATTATAAAATATAAATTATATAGTTTGAGGAATGGTTGCCACACACTTTCCTCAGACGCACAAGAGCAGCTGCATTCCTCAACTGCTTTTACACACAACATGACCTAGGCTTTGTGAAGCATACTGCCAAAAAAAATGCTTAGCCTGAACTTCTCTCTAACATGCTAACTTGTTACAGATTTAGCAATTTTTCTAGGGACCAAAACATACATCCGTCATACTTGATCCTTGTTGATCTTGCCTCCTGTCCCTTCTCCCACTGAAAGATTCCACCACTTTGAGGTGGTGATCTATTGTCTTTTTTTTTTTGCTGCTTAGCAGTACGAATCACTCATTATACAATTTTTTAAAAAAGAGTGAAGCCTATGCACAGCAAACATTTGTCTCACATATAGCCCCACTTGTCATAGAGCTCCAAGTATATGCTGCTCCCTCTTGAATGCATCTGTGAGAAGCAACCCTCAATGTTCCTCTGCCCTGATACGTTATGTTTATTAACAGCATCATCTATTACTCATCTTCATATTATATTGGCCATAATATATTGAAGAATGTCACTCAACCTGCCAAAATACTCAAGGCAATACTAATGCCTATCAAATCTGCAGACTCAAATCTGCAACTCTTATGCATATTCGTCTGGAAATAAGCCTTTGAATAAAGCAGGACATTCTTCCAAGTAAACATGAACTGGATCAAGTTGGCATCCAAGTCCAAGGCTCCACACAAACTTCCTATTCACACAATTGGATTGGATCCACATTCCAAAAATGAACCTGTCACCTTGGAGAGGAGAGAAGTATGAATCTTCTTGATGACATTATCCATTTCAGAAAGCTTTGGCCCTACCAAAGGGCTGTGGGGTCCACTCAAGTGACCAATATGGTCCAGCCCCAAATAGTGAAGGATGAGTAGATCCCAGTCTTCCCTTTTCAGCACATTATCAAGGTGTCTAGTGACATTGTCATCAACCTAGAAGGGAATGAAAAAAGGCAAGGTGAGTTAAAACTTACATTCACTCTAAGGAGTACCATTTATACTTCCAATTTATGCCATCAGCAGAATCAAAGAGAAATGCTTTTCTCAGTAAAACCTCTGACGGAAAGTATACACTGCACAATGTTGAGGGTGGGGAGCCAGTATGTTAAGAATTTGAGGGTCATATGAGTCTAGACATAGTATGATGATTCAGGGTAGCATCAACTGTAAGCCATGAGCTCAGAATGGTTGAGCCCCCTGCTACTGCATAGCATAACAGCACTGAGATTTTTAAACCACAAAATATTACCAGAAAATATATTATGCAAAGAATATTTCAGCATCGTTCAAAGTCTAGTCCATCAACTGGGGAAGGGACAGACACCACTGGCTATGGCCCGACCATTCCTTCTGAGGTGGTGTTGGTGAAGAGTACAGTTAGCATTCCTCAAGTTGAGGGGTGGAAATCTCACCCACAGAGAGAGAGAGAGAGAGAGAGAGAGAGAGAGAGAGAGATTTGCTATTTTGGCCATGACAATCGCACCTTCCCCCCAAAATTCTTTAAAACAAGAGATATACTCTTTGTCTTACAATTTACTTACAAACGGAGCTGGGAATATAAAAGAGAGATACACTTTTTCTCTCTTTTTTTTTTAAACAGGAAGAACTGCTAGTTTTTTCCCTGAAAACATCACAGCAGCAAATCTGGAGTATCAAATGGAATTTTGGCCATGAAAATCGCACCCTCCCCCCAAAATTCTTTAAAACAAGAGATATACTCTTTGTCTTACAATTTACTTACAAACGGAGCTGGGAATATAAAAGAGAGATGCACTTTTTCTCTCTTTTTTTTTTAAACAGGAAGAACTGCTAGTTTTGTCCCTGACAACATCACAGCAGCAAATCTGGAGGATCAAATGGAACCTGGAAGTACAAGACACTCTGGGGGGAAAAATAGGCAGGGGATGCATGTTGCTGAGCCCTGCTTTGATCAGGATACGTCTTGGCTCTTCAGAAAGCAATGGGGGGCTGTCTGCCTGGAGTCTGGGATTTGCCCCAGAAGCTGTTTACAGGGGCCTGGTGTTGGGGTGGGCCTAGAGAAAGAGGAAAACAGGAACAACTACCACTGCCATCAGCTCAGGGGCAGTCTAGAGCTAAGGTCAAAGAGGGGCATGGGTCTCATGTTGTTCTGCTAGTATTGTTTTAATTAGCTATTTTTAAAATCTCTCTTTCATCTGCTTATTTTAAACATAGTTCTGTATTTTATGTTTTATATTTCCGTGTTGCATTTCATCTTGTTGGCTGCTTTGGGTCGCGATGCATGGAAATATAAAATATAATGAAAGAATCAATTACACACATTGTATGATAATCAAAAGGTGTAAACCCTGACATCTCCAGTTAAAAGGACCCTGAGATGTGCAGGTGTTAGATTTACTTGTTATTTTATATGTCTGTAAGCTACCTAGAGTGGTTGCAAGACCAGATACGCGGGATATAAGAAAGAAAGAAAGAAAGAAAGAAAGAAAGAAAGAAAGAAAGAAAGAAAGAAAGAAAGAAAGAAAGAAAGAAAGAAAGAAAGAAAGAAAGAAAGAACGAACGAACGAACGAACGAACGAACGAACGAACGAACGAACGAACGAATCATTCCAGTTGGCTGCTGTAGAGAAATATGCAAAAAACCAAAAAACAAAAAAAAACACGCCCTCTGCATTGGCTCAGCTAGGATCAAGTGGCATTTTGTTCCACCCATCCCAGAAGTACTCCCTCTAGTAATCTCTTAATCTCACTGGAAAGGACAACAATGCTAGGAAACTGTGAAGGCAGTACAAAAAGAGGAAAAACCAAACATGCGATGGACTAACTCAATAAAGGAAGCTATGAACCTTATGTTCACAAGACCTGAGCAGGGCTGCTAATGATCAGATATTTCAGAGGTCATTGCTTCACAGGGTGACAATACATCAGAAGCAATATGATACAGTAACTTATGACCAAAATAACCTTTTCACTTAGTCCCAGTGGAATAATATGGAAGAGGAGCTACCTCAATTAGGTTCTGTTGGAAACACAGCAATGGGAAAGAGTGCTCTGCCACACAGATCTTATTTGACAGAATGATGATCTAAAAATAAGAGAAGTAATGGCTGAAAAAGACTCCAGCCCAAATCCCTTGAGACCTTCTGCCAGTCTCAGAAGATGGACCACAGGTACTTACTACAGTCATGTCAAACCCATAAAAATTCTGCCTAGGCTGTCCTAAGATTTTTGAAAAAATGGCACACGGATGGGGAGACACAGGCTGCCAGTTACATAATAGCAAGCAAAATAAAACAAAGGCCCCCAGAAAAACAACTCTGATGAGAGAAAAAGTCATGATTGTTGGTTTTGGACGCAAGTGATCGGTCCTGTTTTCAATCTGGAGACCACACACCATTTTTCAAGACAGGCATATGAAATCAGGTTTTCATCTAAGCAATTATTCACACCCTGGTTCAATTAAGTACTTTCTTCCACTTCAGCAGCTTCTCACCTCCGTGTAGTCCGAGACAAAAAAGGACGTTGTTCCATCATACTCCACAAACTGCTTTGGGAACAGCCTCACCCAAGTGTCGTCGCCATAGAAGATGATCCGTTTCCCAGCGGCTTTGGCCCGCCAGATCAAGTTGTCCTCTAGCAGGGCGGGAGAATTGAGGTTCATGATGACATCAATGAAACCTGGGATGCTGCCAGTTGTTAATGCCTGTTAACCAGGTGGGAAAAGGAGATGAACGACTGGATGTGAAAAAGAGAGAAACCTGCTTTTGGAGTAGGAGGCATGTCGACAGATACATGCACGTACTTGCTCATGGCTGATGAATCTAGCCTATAAAGGTAAGAACAGGCAGCAGATTCATAAAGACACAGCTGAACAGGTTCTGCCCACACATCTCTCTCCAAGCTTTACTAAGATGATGTAGGGGAACCGCCAGCTCTCCAGATATCATTGGACTAAAATCCCTATCATCCCCAACTACTGGCCTCGGTGAGTCCCACTTCTGAACTTCCTGGCCACAGCGTCTGTGCTATTTCTTAGCTATTTCTGCTTCTTCCCCTCATCCTCCAGTTTTTCCACCACCTACAGCCGATGAAGAGTTCTGGAGGATTCATTTTTGCAGCATTCAAGTTGGTCTTAATAGAAACATTATTCAGTTGTGGATCTGCTTTAGGTGCCAGACACACAACTTGGAAAGCAAACTGCAAAAGCAATGCAAGCTTTCAAAAGGCATTAAGACCATAAAGCCTTTTCAACACAAATTTAACAGATTTCAGCACAAGTTTCACAAGGGCACCACCGCACTCATCAACATTTCCCTCTCATGCCTGTCAAGGTCCTCTGAGCCCTAATCATTTAATAACTTATTTGGGGCAACTGAAAAGTGGAGAAGTTCACCTGCAGCCAGCTCCCATCTTTGTCACATTTCCCCAAAACATCATTGGGCCCGGAGATATTCCTAGGACATGAAAGGGGGCAAATAGGTACAGGCCGGGCACCCTGCATGTCAAGTGACATCAACTACAAAAATGGTGTCTGCAGGAGGGAAGAGAAAGAAACTGTGCTGCAGCTTCCCACCTGCCAGGTGAGCAGACTGTGAAGTATAGCAAGGTGACAAGGTTGGCATTCTGATCTGGGCAGAACTGGTAGGACACGAGAAGAAGAAATGAATGAAAAGAGTGTGGGCACATGCAGTACGTAGCTTCTTGAGAGGTCTCTGATCGGGCCACAGCGACACATGCCCACATCCTGGCTGGATTACTGTAACGTGCTCTACATTGGGCTGCCTTTGAAAAGTATTCAGAAACTCCAAAGGGTCCAAAATGCCGCAGCCTGATTGTTAACTCAGGCTGGTTACAGTGATCACATGACCCACTATGTTACAACAGCTCCACTGGCTGCTAATCTGTTTGTGGGCACAATTCAAAGTGCTGGCTTTAACCTATAAAGCCCTAAATGGCTTGGGACCACCGGGAGGAGGCCTTTCTCTCGGTTCCACCACCCTCACAGGTGCACTTGGTGGGGTCATGGGAGAGGGCCTTCTCTGTTGCTGCTCCCAGACTGTGGAACTCCCTTCCACGGGAAGCCAGGCTGGCCCCATCTTTGCCACCCTTCCACAGGCAGGCAACAACCTTTCTCTGCAGGCGGGCTTTCCCTTAATGACTGGTGGTCTGAGGGGGTTTTTTAAATGGACTGTTGTGCTCTGTTGCTTTGAATGTGTTTTAATATTGATCTTAGTTGCCATTTTAATATAATACTTGCTTAATTCTTTTTCTAAATATTTGCATACTTATTGTTTTTAGGTTTTAAATGCTGTTTTAATTATGTAAGCTGCCTTGGGTCCCCTTGGGGATAGAAAGGTAGGATAGAAAAACCTTAAATAGCAGTAGTAAGAGTCTGAATATAACAGAGAAAGCAACATACTGGTGTTTCAGAGGAATGGGCTTGTGCATGGGGACTCATTTCAGCCAACTATTCAGGTTCTGGGGCAATGTATTTGTCTTTCATTCCCACTAGTGTGCCCTGCAGTAAAAATGCACAGTTGTAGCGGGTTGTAGTTGCCATTTTGTGACATCACCCAAAGACACTGGCTGAAATCCTTTTGCTTAGTGTAGTAATTCACACTAGTGTAGATCCACTGAATTGGTGGTGTTGGGAAGTTCCATTGACTCCCTCATCCATGGGGATAAGTACAGTTGGTTCAAATGGGTCTGTTATATCTGCAAATTACTCTGCTAATTTCAGTCACTATCTCAAAATTCAACCACTGTCTCAAAAACATGCCCTTGTTGTTGTTTCTCTCCCACCGGAGGACGGACAGGACTTTGAGGATTCTGATGTCAAACATGGCAGCATTCGATGTTCCCTCCAGGTTATTCATCCAATAACCTATTTTCCTTCCTGTGCTAATCTGCCCATTTATTTTACCTTTGACAATCAGCTGCTAATAATCAGCACTTTCTTTTTATTTATACTATGTAACTGTATAAATGTCTGCATTTTAAGTGTTTCTGGATTTCTGAGCATTTATTCATTCATTTTACTACTTCTACATTGGTCATCTTCTGGATCCAAGAAGTACTTAGACTCATACCATCATATTTCAAGTACTTTTATCTCTTTTTTTACAGTGTTTGTGTATGTTAAAGCTCACTGTTTCATACCATGCTATACAATCAAGAATACATAGCATTCTATAGATTCTGCATTTTCAAGGACTTTTTGTTACACATTACATTCTTCATCTCTAAAAAGCTGCTCCAGGCTGTCTCTACTCTGCTCTGACTTTCACTGTGCAGCCATGATCCCACTGTTTACTCAGCCAAATACTTATTTACCAACATCATCTACACTTTCCTTTAGAATCTTTAACTCCATATTTTCAGCTACTTGCTTTTTACTCATCACTGTGAACTTACTAACATTTTAGTCTATTTTCATCACTAATGTTATGGGTTTTACTGTGTAGCCTTTTCGGATCATCTAATTGTCACTTAAAAACAGAATGTCATCAATATATGGTATATTCTGCCCACTTGGCCCGAAAACAAGTAATTATTTCAGCAAAATTAAAAAGGTAAGAACTTAAGTTGTCATTGCAATCAGTTCTTTTTGAAACTAATAGAAATTAGTCTATTTTGGAGCACAGGTCACAATACAGTGGTGCTCCGCTTGACGACGATAATTCGTTGCAGGAAAATAGCTGTTAAGCGAAATCGTCATCAAGTGAAAAAAAAACCCCATTGGAATGCATTGAAAACCGGTTAATGCGTTCCAATGGGGGATCATAATCCAGTGAAGATCCTCCATAGGGGAAGCCATTTTCGATCGCTGTCTTGCAAACAGTCGGTCCGGAAAACAGCAGGGAGCCATTTTGCAAACCACCGATCAGCTGTTTTTAATCATCGTCCAGCGAAACTGAATCCAAGCTGAGCAGGCAGCATATCATTCCATTTGCGCTGGAATGCTGACCTCTGTTAGGAGCTAAATTTCATATGCATAGTATATATTTATTTCTTTACTACTTTTCTGGGGAGGGGGAGAATTGTAACCCGCCCTTCCACTACGCTCACTGCTGATGCGATAGCTTTTAACAACAAAATCCAACTAAAGTAATACAACAATTAAAACAGGAAATTGGTACAACTAAAATCCTGGAACCTGAAAACAAGGTTTCCACATTGTTATTTTTGCTTTGAATTTAGGCCTGGTTTGGGGACAGACCCCCACATCTGGAGTTGACAATCTGTTTCAGAGATCCTCAAGCATACTCCACCATCAAGGCAGCCTGTTCAGCAACATGGGACAGGGTCTTGTCTGTAACAGCACAAACAACTATAAAACTATAGAGCACTAGGAAGATTAGATAAGCTCCTTTCTTGAGTTTCAAACATGCTTGTGATGCTTTTGTTCTGCTTAACATTACTTCTTAAATCCTGCCAGTGGTGATGCTAGCTGGAGCAGATAGGAGCTACAGTCCAAAGAAACAAGGGGCACTAAGTCAGGGAAGGCTATAGATGACATTGCTCCACAACATTGCTCTTATAAATTTAGGCACTGATAATGATCTCACATCTAAAACTGAATAGTTCTGAATGACTGCAGGCAAGTAGGGAAGGGAGAATGAAAACACATACGGACACCCAGCAGCTTGTGGGTGTATCCAATGCACACGCCATCAGTGAACAGATGGTGGAAGATTACCAGCTCTTCCAGGACTGATTTGCCAAATCAGAGGCAGGGGGAAAAAACAGAAGATAACCAACAACAGACACTTCATTCTTCTCCTTCCACACTCCCACAGAACGCCCACATTGCCCCCAAAGCATTTTGGAATCAGAAACACATTTTAAAATAGCACAGGCAGTGTGTATGAATAAGAATTATTTGAATAGCTTTGTGTCTCTTTCATGCTGTGTACAACATCACTCAGCTAAAGCAGTCCACATGGCCATGCTCATAACATGAGTGGGAGCCCATCTTTTAATGCCTTATTTTGGACATTAGTTTATCTTTTGAAATCCACAGCGGCTAAATCTCACAAACTCCTTCTGTTTATAAGAGTATACCCAGAAATCTTAGTCAACGGCTTTCATCAATCACCAGACCTTCATGAACACACACGCAATATCTGATCTGATATAAAAAATACATTTCAATCCATTATGAGTAGCTTTTTCTCATTAAGATTAAGCCAGCTTATGGACTCGTTCTTTTCACATGCAATTAGTTCAAGTGTAGAAGCAGAGCCACCATCATATTCCCTGCAACATATGGGTAAAAGAAATCATTTTTGTAGTAGCTGTTAAATATGCAGCACCTTAAAAATGCAACAGCATAGAAACAGAGAAAGGCAGTGTCTAGAGAAGTCACATGATGCAGCACAGTGAGGAATTCAGGAGCCTCTGTGCATGTCTTAAGTGCACATTTGTCTGCATAGTTACTAAAATATGTCTCTAAGCGTGTGAGTCAGTATAATTTCTAAAAACAAAGGTGCTGCTAAATAAAGTTATGGCTTAGCTTGCATAAACAGTACTTGCTTATATTCAGCAGAAGTTTCAGTAGTTCTGATCAACTTTCCTCTCTTTTGCAGAAGACACTATAAAACATTCAGTTTACAATACAACAAAACAGATGTGCACAAAATCATTGCACCACCAATTACTCATTACACCCCAGCAAGGATCCTATAGATGAACATCAATGAATAAGACAAGGCCAAGTAAACATGAAAACCTTTGCTAGTTTTCTTCTAAGCAGTTACTGCTGCTAAAAAAAAGTCAAGCTTATTCAAAAGTAGGAATTTCTGAGGAGAAGACAAGTGAACAAAATTCTTTCTGGCCTAACATCCAAAGCAGAAAGTCATCTCAATGAAACACTCACTCTAAAACATTTTTAAGTGATAAAGAGAAATCAAACAAGCACTATTATCATACACTCAATGTCAGCACTTACTTTTATACGAGGCATAGTGACTGTAGGTGGCTTTGCTTCTGCTATAAAACTATGGGATGTTCCTCTTTCCACCAGCTGTGTTGTATAGGGCATAAACTGCTTGCCTTTTGAACTGAAAACAAAGTCATCTCTCAAGGCATCAATTAACACTATGACGGCCTTTTTGAAGAGAGGGGATGGAATCTTGGTCCAGTTGGAGGACAATCCTAAAAAAACACAAGAAACATGAGGTGATGATCCAAGCTGATGACTGAGGTTTAGTCAACATACTAGCCTATGATAGTGTCTCTGACAAGGATCAACAAGCAGAGTAATACAAGTAACCCTCAATTTAATACTGGCAGTCAGCAATGATGGTAGGGTTTTGTGTTGGTTGTGTTAGAATTTTAAGCCACACTATCAGCAGAGTAGGGCTGGGGGATGAGAAGAAAAGCTTACATTTTATTTTTGCACACAATACACTGGTAATGTTTTTGGAGTGGCATTTCATCACTAACAGATTATTCATGAAAAAGACGTATCATTTGTTTGGCAAAACTCTTCCCTTATTTATGTGTACAGTATAGCTGGGGCAGGGGGGTAGGTACTACATACCCAGAGGCACTTCTATCACAATTTCAAAGACTACATGAAATCGGAACTGACTACTAAGCACAGCTCAATTATGGATCCTATGACAGTGAAGAAGAGTGTACAAGCCGTACACAAACTTATTTAGAAAGATTTCTCACTTCACATAGTAGGAATTAATTAGGAGTAAACATGTACAGAACTAGGGATGTGATTTAATTATTCAAAAACTGAAGACTGTAGTTACTCAACAACAAATCCAATATGTATTAAGCTTTCTGAGATGAGGACATTTTGTTTCTGTAAAGTGTTATACACTTGACTTGCTTAATGTGTTATCAATACAGGACTAAGTTCTGATTGAGTGTTGCAAAGCTGAAATAAAAAGGAAGCGCCTGAATTCTTCAACATTGCAAAGCAGCACGTGTGTATCACCATGAAAATAGGCAAGCAAACAAATGATGCAGGAACAGGTGTGTCTTACCACCCAGAGGAAGACTGAGCAGGTACAAAAGAAGAGATGGTTGCTCCACCTGCCTCCAAATGGAACTGGGGCCAGGAGGGAAGCCCAAAGCATACAAGACAGGTACAGCTACTACCTGGGCAGAGGCAGCCGCTCTCTCTCTGGGCAGCACAACAGACTGAGCTCATCCCGTGCAGCACACAACATTGAGCATCCATACTGCCCAGGCTCCAAATGGAGAGAACCATCACCCAGAAGTCATTGCTTGTGCAAAGGGAACTACTTCATCCCCTCTTTCCCTCTATCTGGCAGAACTATGGAAATGGGGCCCAGAGACCACCCTCCCCTTGCTCACTTTAAAGCAGTGGTTCTTAACCTTGGATTACTCAGGTGCTTTTGAACTGCAACTCCCAGAAACCTGAGCCAGCACAGCTGGTGGTGAAGGCTTCTGGGAGTTGCAGTCCAAAAATACCTGAGTAACCCAAGGTTAAGAACCACTGCTTTAAAGAAAGAAAAAACAAAGCGTGCTGCTTATATACTGCTTCAGTGTGTTTAAAGCTCTCTCTCGCTGGGCGGTTTTAACAATTATGCAGGGTACACACTGTCCCAAGAGCAAACTGGGTACTCAGTTTACCAGCTTTGGAAGGATAAAAGGCTGAGTCAGTCTTGAGCCAGTGGCCTGAGCCCCTCAAGCATTGAACTCAGCCTGTGAGCAGAGTCCTGACTGCAGTACTGCAGTTTAACCACTGCTTCAGGAGGCTCCACTATCCCATGGGTCCCACAACTGCCCCAAAAGAGAGCACTAACAAACTGGCCCCAGCCTTCCAGAGGGAAGAGGAAAGGAACCTGCTGACAACAGAACCATCCTTTGCCAGCCTTCCCTGACATGTTGCAGAGATGGCGAATACTATCGACTCATTTTGCAGGGACAACTCGGGCTGTGGCTCCCAGAAACCAAGCTTGAGGAAGCAGGATATCAGGTCTAATTTAAATAAAAGCAAAAAAGCTCTATTTATTGCCTTTCACTGCACACACACCCTGCTATGGGTTTGGAAGACTGGGACCAGGGGGTCCAATCCTCCATTGCCCAAAGAGAAAGAAGTCAAATAAGTAGGTGGTGGTGACCGTTAAATCTCTCTCTCTCTCTGGGCCATGGGGCCTGATTCTCCCTGCATAATGTTCAGAGAAAGTGCACCCTGCCAGTTACCTCTCAGTCTCCCTCCCATGTCATAGGGCAGTGGTCCCCAACCTCGGGGCCTCCAGATGTTCTTGGACTACAACTCCCAGAAGCCTCCTCCTCCACCACCACCACCACCACCTCTGCTGGCCAGGATTTCTGGGAGTTGAAGTCCAAGAACATCTGGAGGCATAGGGAGTAATGGGGCCCCCAGGAGTGGGGGCGAGGAGTAAGAGGATGGGGCTGGGATCACCTTCGCTCCAAAGAGGGACAGGAAGCACGATTCCGCCTAACCTTTAAAGCAGGGGCCTGCCAGCCACCACCCTCCCCAACCTCTCCAGACTGGGCCAGCGGAAGATGCAGGGAGGGGGGAGAGAGAGAAGAAAGGGCCCTCTCGGGCTTTCTCTCCAAGCCCAGGCCGGCTCCAAGGAAGCGGGTACCTGCGGGAGGCGGCTCCGGGGGCGGGTCGGCGAAAGCCCCGTGCCGAGACAGCGACCTCACGGGCACCGGGAAGAACCCTCGGAGGAAGAGCCCGACCCCGAGCGCCTGCACCAGGAGGCACGAAGAGGCGAAGACGCCCGAGCGCAGCCGCATCTCCGCCGAGGGCCAGAGCAGAAGCCCCTCCAGGTGGGGGAGGGTGACGCCTTGCTCGGGAGCGCACCTGCACGGAAGACGGGCCGCCGCCCCGCCCCTCTCCCTCCTCCGACGACGACGAGGGGAGGGGATTCATAGCCAGCCAATCCATGGACGCTCACCGACCCAGCTCGTTCGCCGATTGGCTGACAGGTGTCCCTATCCTCTGGGAGCCGGGCTGAGGAACGAACCTCTTCGACCAATCGGAGAGAAACGTTAAAGAGAGACTACATTTCCCAGCGAGTCCCTGCGCCAGGGCCTCTCCTGGCTTAGGCAAAGCTGGGCACTTCGTTGGCGCTCCAGCTGTCGCCCGTGGCTTCGTTTCAGGAGACGGAAGAGGTGCGAGAGGAGCGTGTTTCTGTGTGCCCGGAGTTCTCTCCTGCAGCCGAAATGCTCTGTTACAAGATTTAGTACGGAGCATAGGTGTCTTGTTTATCGTGCAAATGCAATCGCTAAAAAGAAACAACCACGCGGAATGCAAGCATCAAGTTGCTACTCGTGGTAGTTTAGTCGTTTAGTCATGTCCGACTCTTCGTGACCCCATGGATCAGAGCACACCAGGCCCTCCTGTCTTCCACTGCCTCCAGGAGTTGTGTCAAATTCATGTTGATTGCTTCGATGACACTGTCCAACCATCTCGTCCTCTGTTGTCCTCTTCTCCTCTTGCCTTCACACTTTCCCAACATCAGGGTCTTTTCCAGGGAGTCTTCTCTTCTCATGAGATGGCCAAAGTATTGGAGCCTCAGCTTCAGGATCTGTCCTTCCAGTGAGCACTCAGGGTTGATTTCCTTTAGAATTCATATGTTTGTTCTCCTTGCAGTCCAGGGGACTCTCAAGAGCCTCCTCCAGCACCACAGTTCAAAAGCATCAATTCTTTGGCAGTCAGCCTTCTTTATGGTCGAGCTCTCACTTCCGTACATCACTACAGGAAAAACCATAGCTTTGACTATGCGGACCTTTGTCGGCAAGGTGATGTCTCTGCTTTTTAGGATGCTGTCTAGGTTTGTCATCGCTTTCCTCCCAAGAAGCAGGTGTCTTAAAATTTCGTGGCTGCTGTCCCCTTCTGCAGTGATCACTGAGCCCATGAAAGTAAAATCTGTCACTGTCTGTTCAATTACCGCTCCCATTATTCCCAGTATTGATTGTGCCATATGGGGGTTGATGCAGGATACAGTTCAACAACTTGTGGTCTTCCAGCCTAGAGAAAGAGGGAAGGGATCAGGAGTCAAGTAAGAACTGGTTTAGTATCATGGCCAAGGTTGGGAGCCAGAAAGTTCATATTTAGGTTTCACCTAAAACAGCCTGTTCACTCAACTGGGTATGTATTTTTCCCACAGAAGCAACAGTAAACTCTCTTAGCAAGTATTTTCTGCTTGTAGAAAACTAGTTCCTGTGACTGTAGTTGGATGAAAAAGTAAGATCCTCTTCATGCTCAATGAAGTGACATTTATACCTGTGGAAGTGGAGAAAAAGCACATTAGAAGTATTTCATTCCCAGAACAGATGCATGAGCATAATGGAATGAGGCATGGGTTTAATGCCAGGTCTGGCTTTATTTCATGCTACTGATACTGGGGACTTACTTAATATCACGATGGAGCAACTTCAGAAAATGCAGGGACCAGTCTCCCCAACCACATTCCACACACAAGCTGCTTCTGCTGCTGCACAACACTACACTTCAGCAATAGAAGTGTGAAATGCCACATTTCCAGTCTCAAATTCTACCTTTTGAAATAGGTACATGGGGAGCACATGCTTTGTTCTAAAGAAATACTCTGCTTCCTGATGGTTTCTAGGCTCTTGGTTTGTCATTCATCACAGTAAGGTGTGTGATACTTACACAGCTTGTTTTAAGGTTAAAATTATTTTAAGAAGGTCCTGAGCCTCTGAATTTCAGGAGAAAAAGTAAACAAAAAGAAGCGGGGGCAGGAAGCCACATGTGATCCATCAGCTTTTTGTATATTCATAATACAAAAACAAAGACATTGTGGCACATTAAAGACTAACTGCTGTATTTTAATGTGAGCTTTCAAAGATCAAGTCCACTTCCTCAGACCTAAGAGTGAGACCATATGACTGTCATATTTATATATAGACGGCTCCGCAACTAGGTGAGGATATAGATAATGGACAAAGTGACAATGTAACTTGCTTTTGGCAAAGACATCATTTTCCAGGCCTTGAGCCAAGAAAGGTGGAATTCATGTGTTCAGCCTGCAGCGTGTTTGCAGGAAACAAAGGATAGAGGCCACAATACCCTTTAAGCAAATCCAGCTGGCTGATTCACAGAAACAGTTGTCCCTGACAGATGCATGACACTTTTTAGTTAGGAATGATAAGTACAGCAGTTTATCACTTGAAAAACTGGATGGCATACATAGTCTGTTGGAGAAAACATGGTATATTACAAAGTGAATAAATATGGTAGGTTACCATCAGGCAAAATTGAGTGCTATTTGATTTTCAGAATGCTCAAAAATTAGATGTATTTTATCAAATTTGTACAAAACAATTCTTTGTTTTTTAGTGTGGCAGATCTGAATATTTTAACATTGGTAAAACAACATGTGTGTTTTAAAATACCTCCATCTAGCAGCCTTGTTATATGTTTCAATGATCAGAAGATAGGAGTGACTTTTACACACCTTACTGTTTCAAGTGTTGCAGGAAAAACAGCCAATAGTGTTGTGGCATTGTGATGATGGACACATTTATTTGGTGATAGCTTCCTTTGAATGCAAGCTACTTTATTAGATATATAGAGCGAAGCCTCAGTTCATGCAATTCCCAAGAACATAATAAAGACTTTGTATTCGCAAAGGCTTTCACGGCTGGGATCTAATGGTTGTTGTGGGTTTTTCAGGCTCTTTGGCCGTGTTCTGAAGGTTGTTCTTCCTAAGGTTTCGCCAGTCTCTGTGGCCTGCGTCTTCAGAGGACAGGAGTACCCTTGGAGGGGGTGGATTTGAACAGATACATTACAAATTAATAATTTTCCTAGTAATTCTATACATTCTCTTGTAGTAATAGTTATGCATATCAGAAAGAAATATAAACAGTGAGCGAGACAAAAATCAAATTCAGACAAATATATTGTTATTCTAATTATTGATTATGTAGCTGATAGTCTTTATCCTGTCTCTTCTGCAGCCGTATACATAACTATGTATCAGTCCACTATTCTACCTACCTTGTAACCATCTATATAATTGTGACCAAATTTTCCGATGGTCTTTTTTCTTTTTTGCATGTAGCCAATCTGATAGTATGTCCATTTCTGTGGTTTCAAGGATTTTATCTATCACTTCATCTGTTTGCGGTGTTCTAGGTTCCTTCCAGTATTTTGCAAAAACCATTCTTGCTGCTGTTATAATATGAATAGTTAAATATTATTTTTCAGAGTCTAGTATATCTGGTAAGATATTTAATAGGAATAGTTCTGGTACCATCGGTATTGAAGTTTCTAATATCTCTTGTAGCATCTGATTCACTTTACTCCAGTATCTTCGGGCATCTTTGCACATCCACCACATGTGATAAAATGTTCCTTCTTTCTGTTTACATTTCCAACATATATCTAAAATCTAGGTTCTTATTTTAGCTAGTGTTCTGGAGGTCATGTACCATCTGCAGAACATTTTGCAGTGGTTCTTAACCTTTGTTACGTGGATGCTTTTGAACTGCGACTCCCAGAAACCCCAGTCAGGACAGCTGGTGGTGAAGGCTTCTGGGAGTTGCAGTCCAAAACTCCTGAGTAACCCAAGGTTAAGAACCAGTGCATTTTGCATATATTCTCTTTAACTACAACAGATTTAGTTAATTTTATGTTTGTTTTCCAAATTCGTTCCAATTGATCCAGTTCAATATTATGTCCTACATTCTGTGATCATTTAATCATATATGCCTTTACCACTTCATCTTGTGTTTTGAAATCTAATAGAAAATTATATAATAACTTAATACATTTTCCCTCTAATTCTAGAAGAATTCTGTCAAAGGGGGTATTTTCTAAATAAATCCTTGTTGATTATCTTTAGCAAACCTTGAAAACAATTGTCATCGCACCCACCAATCCATTTCTATGCCTTGATCTACTAACTCTTGTTGAGTTTTGATAGAACCGTCAAGATTTAAAACCTCACTATATCTTACTATTTTCTTGTTTTCCCTCAGATATGGTAGAGCAAATGCTTCAATTGGCATCATCCAGTGTGGTATTTTGATACACTTTTGGTTTTTCACTTTATTCCACATCAACGAAAGTGCCTTCCTTAGTACATGGTTGTTAAATTGTTTAAAACCCTCAGTCCTGTTATACCATAAGAATGCATGCCAGCCCCATTTCAAATCATATCCTTCTAATTTCAAGAGCCTCATATTTTCCAGTGTTGTCCACTCCTTAATCCATACCAATGCAGATAGATGCCTTATAGTAGAGAAGCCAATTCAGGAGCCCCGTTCCTCCTCTTATTTTTAGGTCTTGTAAGTGCTCAATTTTAATTCTGGGGTTTTTCCCCTGCCAGATGAAGTTAGAAATGCATTTTTCAATCTCCTTGAATATTGTTTGTTTTAAAACAATTGGAATTGTTTAAAAAAGGAATATGAGTTTTGGTAGAATATTCATTTTGACAGTAGCAATTCTGCCCACCATAAACAGTTGTAAATGTGTCCAGCTAGAAAGGTCTTTCCTAATTTCCTCTATCAGTTTCAAATAATTATCTTTCAAGAGAGTACTTGTTTTCTTTGTAAAAAATATGCTGGAGTATTTTACTTTCCTTCCTTCCTGGAAGTTTGCAATTTGTAATAGTTCATCAGTCTTCTGTTTTTCAATGTCTTTGGTCATAATTTTTGTTTTCTTGTGGTTTATTTTTAACCCTGCCATTTCACCAAATTCTTTTAATCCAACCATTAGAGCTTCTGGAGAGGCCTGAACCTTGAATATTTCTCCTTATAATTTGAGACTTTTAATTTTATCTGATATTCGTATCTGCTGCATTAGTACTTCTATTTATTTATTTGTTTGTTTGTTTGTTTGATTGATTGATTGATTT